GCTGAGGGTTACCAATCAGTTTTGAAGCAAGATTAGCATTGCTGAAAGGTGAGAGAGTGCCTGAGAGCCTCGGAGAGGTGTTCTGAATCATTGCTCCATTTCAAGAACAGGTAAAAGAGATGGATGGGCTTATTGGTGGTGCCTGTTCAGAGCACAGCTTCAGCAGCCCTGGAAGCATCAAGATGTTAACTGAAGGAAAAAAAAACCAACCCATTTGGGTCAGATGCTTGATTATAACTGGTTGTATGAAAAAGAAAAGTGGCTGCATAAAACTGGAATTGTAAGATATAATTGGAGATGCTCATGGTCTGTAACAACTGTAAAAACCACTAGTGAAGAAACTCACTACAGGAAGCTGGGGTGGAACAAAGCAAGCACATCTTGGTTGGAGAATTGGCCTGTGATTACCCAGCTACTTAATCCAGCAAAAATCTAATTGCTGGGGAAGGAGGTAGTTGTGCTCACCCCAGCTCCTTCCTCCTCTCATCCGGCTTGTGTGTTCCTGTGGCTCTTTGGATGAAAACCAAAGCCAGTGTTTCTTGTTTGGTTGTTTCTCCCCCCCACCCCCCATGCTCAGCTCATGCCCAGAAATGCTCCTGTTGGCATGAGGGCAGGTGAGCACAAGGGGGGACATGGCATCTCCCTGACCTCGCTGTTGGCTTCAGTGAATGTTACCTGAGTCCTTGGAGTTATTTCAGCTCCTGTATCCCCATGCTAGATTGCTATTACTCCCACCTGCATCAGACAAGAAAAACCCTGTTGCCAAGGAAATATTACGCAATTGTGAATGAGGTATAAAGTGCCTACTTTAGAGATCTGGATAACACACACACACACAAAAAAATGAAGAATTTGGAGGAGTGTCATGGCCGTAGATATGGATGTTTTGTGCAACACACCTGGCACCATTTGCATAAGGTTTTGTGCTAAACTCTTTGTCAGCCTTGGTTACTTTGCAAAAGGAAGGAGAACTGGAGGAATGAAGGGCTGCTGTTTTTGTGGTGAGAGCCTCGTGCAGAGGGCAGGGCTTGTGACAAACCCACAGAGCTCCTGTATGTTAGAGCAGTTTTTGGTGTCTGATTGCTGTGGTTTTTGAAACCACATTCCTTGCTGGCTGAGGAGTTGTGTGCTTTGTAGACCAGCCGCAACCGCCCCGTTGTTCCGCCCTGTTCAGCTCGAGGTAATTCGGCGGGTGCTGTAAGGTCATGGCGTTACCTCCTGCTTGCTGTGGTTCAAGTCTTGCGCAGCAATGACTGCTGCAGCATAGTTGCTGGGTGGTAACCTGCTGCAACGTGACATCTGCAGCTGTGCCCGCAGCCCTAGGAGAGGGAAACAAAGTGGGGGCTGACTTCCCGTTTTAGTTTTACAGCTAGCTGTTGTCCTTAGAAATATATCCAAAGTGCCGTCTTCAGTCCTCTTTTTCCTGTGCCCCAGAAAGATGGGTCATGGCTAATTAATTTAATACTCTTGCAGCTATTCTCCATACTCAAATTTTGTTGTTGTTAAGGGCGACAATGCCCCCAGGCCTGCATGGTTTGGTTGATAAGGCCACCTTTTCTCTATTTGGAATATTTAAAGCGTCGGTTTCCCATGAGCCTGCTGCCGTTGTGCATTTGCACAGCAGCAGACACTGATTTTGGTGGCTGTATCAGATGAGAGAGCATAGCAGATTGTGATGCCCAGTCAGGGAAGCCTGAGCGAAGCTGATTCAAGTTCCAGGCACACGGTTCAAGTGCCGTGTGCCTGGGTGCAGGGAGGCTTTGGTTGAGGCCATGCTGGGGCTTAAGCCTGGTCCAGTGCAGCTGGTGGGCCTTGTGGCCCTGCAGCCACTGTAACGATGACCAAAGGTACTAACAAACCTGTGCTGCTGTGAGTTGGCTCTTGGCATCTGGTCAGCCTGTGATTTAGGCATATGCAAAGTGCTGCAGGCTTACTTACTGTGTAAATAAGACAAAAATAAGGGGCTTTTCTTTGTCAGTAGCTGGTCAAAAGGCCTTATGAATGTTGGACGTGTGGTCTACTACTCTGTTCATCCATTGAAACCATGAGACTTTCAGTGACAGCTTCAAAGCTTGTGAGAGCCCCAGGTGAGGCTGGGAGGGGGAAGTGGAGAGGAGCTACCCGAGCTCTGGTGCTGTATCTGCCAAGCATGTGTGGGTCTGACTTTATTGTGGCAGCTGTGGTTTACATCTGGTTTAAAGCTGCTTTTTTAAAAATTAAAAAGTATATGTATATATTTAAATTTGAAGCCACCCTTGTGCCTTCCCTTTCTGTGTTGTGCTGCCTTTCTAGGGAGGGGCCACGCAGGGTCTGTGTCCTGTTAAAGACTCTTACATGAGAAACAGATTATGTCTCTTCTTTGCTAGCATCCCTACAAAGACTTTGTAGGGAAGGCTGCTTCCTTTGAATCTTCTTTCCCCATGCAGGATCCACCCAGCCAAAAACAATAAAATATAAAATTGGAAAGAGAAAAAATAGGGAGCTTTTGTGTTTTTAGTCTTTTGCTGCCATATGTGTGTTGGCTGCACAACTTGAAACTCCTTAAATGCGCTTTTTCCACTCCATCAAATCCATTCAAGTACGTTATTCTTTAAATTGCAGCAGAGGATAACCCACAGACAGTTGTGACAACCCTGTATGAGATGCCCTCCTCAGAACGGCATGGGTTGGGAGGGACTTTAAAGATCATCTAGTTCCAATCCCCTGCCATGCTTCCTGTCTCCGATCACCTCCTCATCTCACATGTATGCTGACGCAGGAGGATCTGCTCTGTGATCTTCCCAGGCGCTTGTGTCAGGCTCACTGGCCTGTAGTTCCCTCGGTCCTTCTTTCTCCTTTTCTTAAAAACAGGAGTGATGTTTCCATTTCTCCAGTCACTGGGGACTTTACCTGACACACATGACTTTTCAGTTATGATCAAAAGTGTCTTGGCAACCACATTAGCCAGTTCCCAATTCCCTGTGGGCCTTGGGATACCTGTCTTCAGGCCCTATAGACTAGTGCACGTTCAGCCTCATGAGGGGGTCTCGCTGTTACAGTGGGAGGGATTTTGCTCCCCCAACCCCTGCCTAGAGGTTCAGAGCCATGAGAGACGTGGGAAGCCTGAGAACTGGAGTACCTCACCCTTCTCCACATCTGTTGTTCTGTTGTTGCCACTTCTCCCTTCTCCTTTATCCTCAAGCAGCGCACATGGTGTCATTTTAAAATTTTGTTTAACAGAAGCTTTCTGTGGTACGCAGGTCCCATGTGAGTTTGTGCTATAGGATTTGAGTAATGGTAATCCCTGCCCAGCCCTACAACAACTTTTGTGTGAGGAAGGAGAGTTTCTTTTAAGATCTCCACTGTGTAGAGCATGGAAGGCGATGGGCTGAGTAAACACAGAGCCAAAACAGAGGCGTGTGGAAAAAAATAGCCATGGAATTAGGCTGTGCTACTCTTCGGTCAAGGCATTGGCACTGGGGCACTGCTGGGCAGCTGCTGGAGAAGACGGGGCCTGTCAGTGATGTGGCAGCCCCTCTGTGAAAACATGTTTAAGGGCAAAAATGCTGGAGAGGACAGTAGGAGAAGTAAAACAAAAAAGTGAGTGTCATGGTTTGGCCTGGCTTGGCCTAGTTATGTGACAAGGAGTGAGGAACAGCACTATGCACCCTGCAGTCAGTGAAAGAGGAGGGGGTGTTGGATAAGGACTTCCCTGCCAGGACCTGTGGTGGGAGGTCCTGACAGGAGCTTGAGCAGGAGCCACGGCCCATGCAGCACCCGCACAGGAGCCAGGCTCCCATGTGCTGTCACTGTTGTGGTGACATGATAGAAACAGCGGCTGCTTTGGCTGGCCATAAGGGTGAGCCTTCTGCACCCGCCAGTTCTCAGCTCAACAGCTGTTACACCAACAACTTTGGTTTTAATAGAAACAGGAAGTGTATTGGATTTTGTTCTGGATCTGATGAGGACCTTCGGCAGAGCAGTGAAATGGACTGGAGCAGAAGCAAATGGCATACTTTATGTTGGAGCCGTGCAGCTACCTGCTCTCCCTCTGCTCAGAGGAAAATGGCTGGTTTTTGTGTTGGCAAACCTGTGTTGGTGAGGCTGTGCCCTTTCTTGTCCCTACTTTTCCTCTCTCTGTCCTGTGAGGAGGGCTGGGATCGGGGCCTGGCTGGCGGTTGTGTGTGCTGCACAGACAGACAGCAAACCCAAGACCACGTTATGAAGCTGTAGTAGTGAGGCAGGGCAGGGCAGGTGCATACTGGTGGAAGGGAAGGCTTAGGATCTGCACAGATTCTCACAAAGGCTTGGCAGTGGTTTCCGTTGCTTTTATGTGTGGGCTATCCATAGTTTTAATCACTTAGGCTGAATCTTACTTGAGGGGAACATGTGTTCTTGTGTAGCATTAAGCGGCAGCCAAGCATCTTTCATTTAGCAGTTCAGTTCCAGTGAGGGATTCCTGTGCTGGTGCTATAGCTGTTGTAGGAAAACGTGGCTTGAATATTATGTGAAGTTTTTGGTGTTGAAGTTATTTCAGAATTGCATTGTTTCCAGGAAAAGGCCCATCCTGGCTTTTCTTTGAATGCCTGCCTGAAGAGATGGAACTCATTGGGAGTGCATTGTCAGTTCCTGGCAGATGAAGCTGGTGAGGATGACAGTGACATGTCCAGGGATACTTTACTGCAATTTCCTCTTTTCTTCTCTGTCATGTACTCTGACGTACTGGGAGTCCTAGCAATTTGCAAGACCAATATGTGATTTATGGTATTCTGTGTGTATTTGGGGTAACTATTGATGCAAAAACTTATTTGTAATCATTAAATCTTTGGTCACTTAAATCAGGCTTAAGTTGCTTTGAACGTTGTATGGTTTAAGAGCAAAATCTTAAGAGCAAAAGTCTCACTGAAATCAGTGGCATTACTGTGACTGGAATATGACTTGACTTGTGTTGCATTAGCAAACATGTCTTCTGAAAAAATTTTCTTCTCCTAATCGTGCTCCTTTGCAATTTTTTCCTCAAGTCTTGTGAAGAAAACAATCTGAAGACAATGTGTCTTTGACCCCCGGTACCAGCTTTTGAGCCGGAGCAATGGAAGTTATAGATGGCTGCCGGCATACTGACCCTTTGATAGTTTCAAATGGATATGCAAACAGGATTTTCCAAGCAAACATGGAGGATAGGAGTGCTGATGCATCAGAGGTCTGTTGTGCTGAGCATGGCACCTCCAGTGATGCAGTCCCAAACGAACAGGAAGAAGCACCCAGATATAAGAAGTTGACCAAGGGCAACCGGATCTGGAATTTCGTTTGGCGAAGGAAAGGATCCTCTATGAGTAAAAGAAGGCCCCGGTCCATGATCGTACTGGGAGATACTTATGATGCCTCTGATGAAAAAAAGCCATCCTTCATGGACCGAGTAATGCCCTTAAAAAAGCTAAGAACCTCTAAGCTGCCTAAGGATGTAGATTTCAGAGGATCTGCAGTGCAGGTTGCTTGTGCCCCTGAAGAGGACTATCCTGCTAGTGGGCAAGGAGCAGTCTACAGGGTTAGGAAACTGGGTGACGGCCAGAGGCCCTACCGCCATTCGTATGGGGGGCACATTGAAGATTTAGATTCCTCTTTTGAAGACATCGAGCTGAATATCAGCATTCCTGAAATTGATGCCAATGAAAGTAAATGTCTCAGGGATATTAGTATCAGACTACACAGTGAAGATAATGTTAGTAACTGCCAAAAAATACCAGCTAGAAAGAGCGAGTCTTTGAATTTTGAAAGCGTTAAGAGTCCTGCAATTACGGAAGGGGACAATCAAAAGAAGTGTACTGTACTCCCACAGGAGGGCAAAAGAGGAAGAAGCTCTGATGTCTGGAGCTATCTGAAAGGAATTTCATTAACTAGCAAAGATAATTCAAAGCTTCTAGATGAAAGAGCTGAAACCAATTTCCAGAACTTAGAAAGTACAACTGATCATTCCACTTCTTATTTGGACTATGGCATGAGATGTGAGGAGAATCTTAGCCAGCAGAAAAAATCAAACAGCACAACCAAAGCCACTCACTTTGCGGGTTTTGTGCGGTTCTTCACCAGCGTGGCCGAAGCAGCTCGGCGGCTGCGAGGCTCCTCAAAGGCATTTTCACCTGATGAGAAAAGGCCTCAGCGGAGTTCCCGAAGCTGGAGGCAGGATGTCATCTCCCGTAAAGTGAGCCTGGTTATTGAGAATGAAACCGCGAATGCTTTCTGCACGGTGGGAGCGTGTCTGCAGTCCCCAGATTCAGGCGTGTGGGATAATCCGAGCTTTGAGAGTTCAGTGGGGAAGGAGGCCACACAGGGCTGTAAAACTGCAGAGGTGTCACAAGACATCGGCTTCTCTGCCCTGAGCAGCAAGAATGATAGTTTTAATGAAACACCACTTTCTCCCTCTGGGCCAGAGCTCCCAGATGACTCTGTCACTGTGATAAATTCTGAAGAACCCTCTGAGACTGCAGTCCACTTTCCACAGACAACTCTGACCAAACAGATTCAGTACATGGGCAATACTCCAGAGGAGGCACAGGCTGTGGGCAGGGACCTGCCGCATTTGGAAGATCTTCCTGGGAAAGATCTGGGTACTTCTGAACTGGGCAGTTCTCCAGCTGCTAACGGTGACTTTCCTGTTGTGACCGTGGCTCTGATCCACCATCCACTAAAGATGACTCTGCATGAACTCGAACCTCAGGATGTGGCTTGTGCTACAGTAGTTACTAACGACATGAGTGTGTCTCTAGCAGCAGCTCTGGAGCTTTCAAAGTCTGAACTGGATATGAAGGACCTGAGTAATTCTGAGTTGCCTTTACATGACTTATCTAGAGATGACTTGGACTCCAGCAATACTCCAGGGAAGGAGCAGGTCACAGACGGGCACCTGCCATGTTCTCAACATCTTCCAGAGAAAAATCTGGATACTGCAGTGCTGAACAGTTCTCCAGCTGCTAATGGTGACTTTTCAGCAGCGACTTCTTTAAAATGTGCAACAGTTGAAGGAGTGGTGTTTGAGCAGACTGGTGGATGCTTCAAAAAGCACAGAACAAGTTCACCTGTGGAACAGAACCCTGTGGAGTTACTTAGCAGAGGAGTGCGCTTTGACTGTGATGATGAATGCCGTCCGTTCCATGTGACCATCTCTAGAATTGTCTCCTCTGGACTCCTTAACAACGGAAAGGTATGAGTAAGCTTTACTGTACAACTTCCAATAAGACTGCATTGTTGTTATACCTCTTATAAAGATGGTTTGCACTTGTAATAATTTTTATGTATTCCTCTTTGGAATTTTTACTTAATCATACAAAGAATGACTGTAGACTTATCAGTCTATGAGGAACCAGTTGACTGGCATGTCCCCGGGCTGTTAGTGCAAATTTCCAGAGTGCTCCTCTTATGACCTTTTGGCTATGTCATTATCAGTGCCTTTAGAAGAGGGCTGTAACAGAGATTCTTGTATTTCTATGCACTAACTTTAATTTTTCTTCCTGTCTGCATTTAGCAGTAGTGGTGGTGGCAGTTGATTTTTATGAGGTGATGCTGGTTACACCACAGCATCTGGAACACCAGGAAGATTCCTGGCACACAATCCTAGCCCAGAATGGAAGATGGGAAATGGTGGTTCTGAGAACTACAAATCCGTATTGCCCAACATGAAGTCCAGCTGTTTTCTTTTGGGTTCCTGTTGGCTAAAGATGAAATGTTTATTTTTATTTTTAAGGTGCCCAATAGGGAAATTGGGCCAACTCATGGAGAAACTTTTGCCTGTCCTTTTGGACTTCGAGAGACAACACATTATGGGGTGATGACATTGTTCCCTCCTGGAAAAGGGGTCACTGACTTCTGAGCCAGGAGGGGAAGTGTTTGAAAATTGGCAGCAGATTAGAAATACTGAGAAGAAAAAAGTCTGAACATCTGACTCCCAGTTAAAATGGGCAGTACTGTTGTTAGTTATTCCTGCCTTTTTCTTTTTTTTTTCCTCCATTTTTGTTATTCAAAAATATGAAGACAGTTCACTGTGTAATTCCAGAGAGTTATGAAGTGGGACAAGTAGTGGTCAGCCACTTGTGGTCGACTGGACAAAATGTTTTTAGGAGTGGCTTGAACGAGCAGAGTGTGGTTTGATCTACTTTTGCAGGGACTAAGCTGTAAGTATGCTGAGCAGGAGCAAGATAACAGGCATGAAAGGACTGAGTGGAGCAAGGGAAGTATTGGCAGACTTTTCCCAGAGCAGCCACATTTTTGGTAACTGAAGGCTATGGCTCTATGTCTAATCCCAGAGTTCTTGCAACCCTGCCCATGGCAGAGGAGCTGAAACTAGATGATCTTTAAGGCCCCTTCCAGTCTAAGTTATTCTCTCATTCTTTGAGGGCAAAATGTGAGCAATTTCCAAGGCCAGCTGTGTGAACAGAGGTGGGGTAAGTCCCATCTCAGCTGTTGTAGCTTGCAGACTTGACAGAGAAACTTAAAGATGATACTTAAGATAACTGAACAGGAAACCTTCCCCGAGTTCCTGTTGAGGGTGGTGATAGCGGTACGACCTCTGGATTATGGTGGCTCCCAGCCTCACAGGTCCATGCCTGCCACTTCACAGAAGCAATGGCAAGCTGGAAGGGAAAGCACACAGCCCACCCTGGTTTGTAAACACCTCTGGATCCCGGAAACTTGGTCTAGAGATGTCTAGTGATCTAAGGTCAGGACCAAGTCCTGTGCAAAGGAAGGAAACTTTTGGATGGGAATAGACTTAGAGAGTCCATTAGCAGCTCGGGTAACAAATGTCCTGAGACACTCAAGGGATTTACTTGCTTATCTCTCATCAGGGAGTGGCACTCGGAAACAGTTCACCAAAAATAAACACATAGGAGGAAGAACTGCAGCCTGAACACCAGCAGCAAGCTCAGGCCTCTTTATTGAGTTAGGGCTGAATTTACCTCCTTTCTGGCACCTGTTCCTTGGGACAGTTGTTGGCCCTCATGCTTCTGCTCCAGGCTGCTCTGCAGTAAATGAGGGATTTGGCTTTCAAGTGAAATGCTCCACCAAAAGTAGGGTGCTTCCAGGACAGGGGTGCTGTAAGCAAGTACTGCAGCCTTTGAAGTGCATTAGCTGTGTGAAACAGAAATAGCTTCAGCACTGTTTTCAAAACAACCTATGTGTTTTCCCACAAAAAGCAGAAAAATGCTTGTTCTCACTGAGGCTCCCTGCCCCAACCTGCTGGGAGGTGGTAAGAGATCGAGGATGATGTAGTGCAGAGGGTGGTGGAGTGAGATGTGGGGGACCTGGGCATTGGTCCTTGTTAGACAGCAAATCTGCCGCTTAGCTGCGCTCTTCCAAAACTAACACTTCCACTTCTAGTTCTCCTTACCTTGCCTTTTAAAATTTCATGTTTTCCATCAGCAGCTTACTGACAGTGTGGGCAAGTAACAGCTCAACAGTGTTTGATCTTACTGCTGTACAGAAAACAGCATTTAGTAAGAAGAGGAGCGGGTAGAAAACTGCTTACTTCTCAAACTGTTCCTCCACCTAGCTGCTTTTGTGTCCCATCCCAAATTCTTATTTGTTCAGGGAACTAATGATCAGCATAGATAAAAGCATTTTGACACATTGTAAGCAATCCAAAATGAGCAATGGCAAATGAATTACCGATTCACACTGCTGCGAGTTGGGAATTGAAAGGCCTTCCTTATTTTCAGATAGGGATATGAGAAAGGAGCTCAGAGATGATGTAGAGTTTCTCTGAGATTTTGATCAACTTATGGCCTTCACTTACAAACCATAGAAGTTTCTCTTTTCCACAGAATCAGACACAGCCCCACAAGATGAATTTGGCCACTTCCAGGAGCTTGAGCTGATGCTGCACTGGGAGGAAGCTGTGAAACCACACCGGCTACCCTGCAGCTAGGCATTGCCACCAGGGTTTCAAACCACCCCATGTGTCCTTGGACAAAGTCTGTGGGGGCTTTGATGCTTACTTTGAGCATGGCATGAGAAACGGTTGCAAAATACACCTGTGACAGACTATCTCAGATTTCAGTTTCCAGTTTGTGGAAACTCATGTTTCTCAGAAACTTGATTTAGGCTCATTGCTGTCCGAGATCCTTCTGGGTCACCTCGGGGCTCGCACAGATGTTCAGCAGGGACCAAGTGCTGTGGAGCCGCTCCATCGCATTTTGGCTTCTGCAGTTAAAATGCAGTTAAGATGCAAAATCTTGTCACTGCGGTCTTGCTCTGCCCTCTGCTGGCTATTTGTGAATTAAGGATTTATTTTAAGGAAAATAATGCTTTATCTGTAGGATTTTGAATTTTATCTGCGGGTGGTTTATAAACAGCATCTTGTTGCTGTCTAATTTTTTTAACCACACATAGAAACCAGTTGGTTTTGTGATGGCATTTTCTGGGGGAATTACAATTGCCAGAAGCTTGAAAATGAGTTCTCTCCAGTCTTGTGTGCCTGGACAGAGATTGCCTGCTTTGCAGGATAAGGTGCCAGGCTGGTTGATGGATCCTGCAGGTCTCCCAGGTAGTCTGCTGTTTCACTCCCTGGTCGTCCACACTTGTCAGCCTCACAGCACACGAGGAGGAGTGTTTCTTTTGGGCAGCTGTGAGTTTGGGGCTCTGTGCCCCATACATCGGGGCTAACTGTTCTGGGTGCCATTCAGGTGCTCACTGCTCAGAGTGTGCAGATGCTGACAGTGCCCTGTACCGATGATGATCAGTGCTTTTACAGCATTACTGGGGTTTGTGATTTCTGTGCACACTGTGCTGCATACGTGGGAAAATTGGAGGCTTATCCAGTGCGGTGGGTCTGACTGGAAGCACCGGATTGCTGATGTACCTGTGTGTGCACGTGCCAGAAGATGCACTGGCTGATACGCCTTCTGATAGCTGGGGCACTGGAGGCAAACCCAGGAGATCTCAGATCCTCCCACAGGCTTGGAGTTCTGCTTTAGAGCAGCTGCTGCAAATATCTTTTCATGAGAGGAAGATGGAACAACTTTCTTTCTCTCTGTTTGATGAGAAACTGCAAGCAGTTTGCAACAGGATCCTGTGGTGACCTTTAGCTTGAGATTGTTTGATTATCTCTCTGCCACAGAACGGGAGTTGCTGCAGGAGTGTGAGTGCCGAGCTGGCTTCCCCCTCCTTGCTCTGTTCAGTGGTACTAACCAGAAAAGGTGCATTTCTGAGAGCTGATTTTCAGAGCTTTATCTGGTTGCTGCCAGTTGGCTGAGTTGTCTCTGCCTCCTGTGCTTATGAAGGAGGTGTAAGTGAAGAAATACTGCTTTACTTTCTAAGTCCTCCTGCTGCCTAAGGAGCACTGTATTTCTGTCTGTAGCAAGGTATGATTTAATTGCAGAATGAAGATCCTGTATATTTATGGCATTTAATACAGTCATGTCTGACAATCATCTTATTTTTAGAAGAGACAAAACCTCTAAGCTGTTCAGATTTTCTTAATAACTGTGAAGTGCTATCAAAATCTTGAATTAAATCCTATATTTAGTGCTATGTATACTGGGATAGCTTTCTTTCTTTTTTTTTTTTTTTTTCCTTTGGAAACATTTTTAGCATTGTGAGGGAAAGGCAGCTTGCATCTTTTAGGCTGATAGGCTTTCTGTGTAATTATAACCAGCCACCTGGGGATTTCAGATTTCCATGTTCTCCTGAAGTGCTTGTGGAGCCTTGCCTTTCTCTAGTTCACAGCATTGAATTCTCCTACCTCCCTTAGTGCCATCAGAGCAGTGATATGAACAGGGACTTGGAGGTTCTGCTGGCCTCTCTGCTGGAGGACTGTGTGTCCAGAACTTCCCTGCCCAGGAGGTTTGCTTTTTTTCCTCCTCCCGCTTGTTTCCCAATTAAGGGGAGTGTGGTGCAGCACTGGACATGGTACAGAGAATGGGACATGGAGCCTTACGTCATCCACAGCCTCCCACTGTGCCTTTGGGTAATTGTAGCCTGTCTGCTTTGTTCTTCATTTGTAAATAAAGATAATAGTGCATCAGTGAAAGCTGAGGGTGCTGGAGGACTTAAACCATCAGAGGCACCCAGTTATTAGCAGGGCTATGGAAGTGTGAGAAATCCGTCTCAAACTGAGGCTAAAAGCCTTCCAGTGAAGAGCCCCCCTCTTTTCTTCTCCTGACCTTTCTAAACTGAATTTTCTGCTGATGTCTTAGCTCCAGGATTATACACAAGGCTTCCACATCATCATGCGTCACAGAGAAGAAAATGAAAAGCAGGGTTTTGAACCACAGTTTTCAGAAAGATAAATCCATTCCACGGTTCTTGCTGTTGTCTCTATTGGGATGATTTCCTCCTGAAAGAGGAGGATAAAAGTTGGGTTTACTCAGGAGCAAGAGAAGCATCAACCTTTTTTCTCCATTTAGCTGCAAATGCTAGTTTCTCATTTGGATTAATGTTATCGTAGGGTGTACCTGGGGATATTTGACGCTTTAAAGGTGCTTCAATCAATTGCCAGTGTCCTGGTGTTCTAAGCAATAATTCCTAGGCTATCGATATAGAAGGCTTGTCTTGTTCACAGTTGTTATCAATTACCTTCCAGAGAAACTACTATTACTACCAAAGCCATTCAATTCCATCTGTGTGTGAAGCCCTTTCTCTCTCCAGAGGGCTCCTTGTACCCTCCCGATGACTCCAACAGCACAGCAGTAACAGTAAACCCGTTAGGTTTATTCACCTCCTGTCCTCTTCAGAGACCATCTGTGGGCTTCTGTTTATGGAATTGGAAAAAGACCTTACGTGACCTTTGGAAATGCCTGGAAGGGAGTGTCTTGCTAAGATTCTTGGGAATTAAGAGAATGACATCCTGTTACTAATTTAATTCACTTTTACATAGATCTTTTTAAATCAAGAATCTTGAGTTTTGCAGGAATTGTTCTTGCTGGGTATCTTGGCTTTATTCTGAAAACTTGAAGTATTTGTTTCTATAGTAGAATGGGCAGATCCTATTGTTCTGCTGGATAGGCACAGAAATGAGCAGATTGTTCTCCTAAACCTCACTGTTGCATTATTCTACTCCTGTGTGCTTCAAGTGCTGGAGATACTTCTAGCACTTCTTAAATGTGTCTTGAGCATGGCTATGCTCGTAAATCTGGGGTAGCTGATGGGGTGTAATCAGTTGTTGGCTGAAAATCCAGACAGGAACAGTCTCTCCTTTGCTTTAGGCTACCAAAGGGTGCATCTGCTAATTCATTTCAGGAGTGCCAGTTGAGGCAGATCTTTCAGCTGTCTGTCCACAATATGCTTTGGATGCGCTAATTGGCCTTAATGACCCTGAGCACCCTTAAGTGGGGTCTACGCTCATTATCCCAAGTGTTCATTTAAATTCAGCTCTGGATGCTCAGTTTCTGAAGACTGAAGTTCCTCCAGACTTTGGGCCCTCAGCACCAGCTAATTCACTGCCTGCTTGTGCTCTTGCTGGGGCTTGGTGACACTGGTGTGGACAAAATGCTGTGCAGAGCACAAATGTCCTCATCATGTTACCCTGGAAAGTGCCATGGAGACTCAGTGCCACCAGAAGTTGTTGGGACTTGAGCACCATGACCTGTGCTCATGGTAGGGACCCTCATACAGGGAGAACTAGAGCGTGCCAGAAGCAGAATCAGCAAAACATTTGTCTTTCAGCAAAAAATAAAAAGAAGAGGGTGCAGATTGCAGTGAGGAGTCACAAGGTGTGCAGTACCTTCTTGGGGGGGGGTGGGGAGAAAGAATTATTTGTCCCAAGTTTAACAAGCATTGCTAAATTTCTTCTCTGACCCTTTTCTTTCCAGACAATGTCTCATCCTTCTCAACCATCCCCACAAGCAGCTCCCTTCAAGGTGCTTGTAGAGAGATGTCGCTCCGAGCCGCTCTCCCAGAGCACCCCGATGGGGCTGGACCAAGTTGGAGGGCGCATGCAGCACCTGCTCAGAAGACGCGGTGAGTAGCTTTGCAGTGGTTATCCCCCAAAATCTGTCTTTTGGTCTTGCTAACATGGGCTAAAAAATCACAAATGTGGCTTGTATCTGCTCTTGTTACAACCCTTGAACCAGGTGAGGCGGCTCTGATAGCCACATGCTAGAGTTACTTTTTTTTCTTGTAACTTTAGTGTTTCTGAATGCATTCCCTGTAATTTGGTTGTGAGAAGATGAACAGATAGGTGCACAAAGAGTAAAAGCTGTTCAGCAGCGTTTGTGGGAGTTGTAATTTGGTAGTATCCTCTGGCTTTCTGTCTTACCTGTTTTTTGTTGTGAGTGCTTGGCATTTGGAGGTGTTGAGTGATGGATTCTGAGATCATAACTCAGCTCTAATGTTTATTTGGAAAAGAGCAAGATGTGAGTTGTTTTTTTTGGGTGCTCTTCCTGAACAGATAGAGAATCCTGTGAGTCAAAGACTGGTGAGCTATCCTCTGCAGCACTTGATTAATGTAATTATAATTTGTCCTGCTCAAAATGACGCTGAGAAAGCAGGACTGAATGTATTTGCTGGAAGGGTCTTGTGTTGGCAGGTAAATAAGCAAATGCTCGAATGGGCAACGTGACTTTGTGAACCTCTAATTAAAAGGATTGATAATTGCTGTAAGAAAATCGTTTCTTGGAGGAGTAGTACTAGCGCTAAGAATGCCTTGAATTAGCAAGTATGGGAATGCTGCCAGACTGCATTGGCATTGCTTGGGAGCACACTGGGGATCTGAGCAGTTAATGGATGGCGGCAGCACGTTAAGGATTAAGAAGAATCAGAAGGGAAAAGGCATAGCAGCTGCCTCTTTAATTGATGGCTCTTCTGTAGGGGTGCACACGCTTTTAGCACAGGCATCTCTCAAAATGTGAGCACTACTGCGTTTGCACATTGCTCCTGAGTGCTACTATATTGGCACATTTCCTCTGGAGCTTGGTAGCAGCCTCTTGCTATAATCGGCACTTGCACTGCAGCTTGATTTTCTGTGAGTCTAGAAAGTGAAATGCTAAAAATAACAGCAGGGTGTCTACGTCAGCAGTGCGTTTAGGAAATGGGTCTCGGTGCAATCTCTCCCAGCAACGCTGGAAGAAAATAAGGATTGCTGCCCACCCAGCCATGCCAGGGCTGAGGCAAGGTCCCAGCTCTGCTGTGCTCTGTGCTGCTGTCCTGGGCAGCAGGGAGTCCCCAACTACTTGATTTGGGAGCAGGGAGCTTGCAGTAACAGGCAGGGGCATGTATTTTGGCTATGTAAGTAAAGGTGACCTAAACACCAGGAGCACAGATCCTAGAGTGTGTGTCCCTGTCTCCCAAAGCTTAGACCTTTTATCTTTTGTTGTCTGGTTTCAAAGCCCTCGAGACCACAGAGCCTGAAAGGCAAACTGGGGTTAGAGGTGTGCCTGGAAGAAGAAAATTAGGGTTGGTCTTTGTAGTGGAAATGCTAAATCATGGCTTAAAGCAGTGATTGAGCACCTGGTGGGAAGGCAGCGCCAACCCAATGGAGCTCAGGTGCATGCAGTCTACCTGAGTGACTGGAAGGGGTGAAGCCAGAATCCACCCCTTCCCAGACCTCATTTATAGATTGGCAATGGAGGTGAGGGTATCTTGCTGGAGATCCCTGCCTACCTGAGGCCTTCTGAGAATCAGCAGTTTTTTTCCTTTGATTTTGCATGCATAGCTGCTGCATTTGGGCTTATCCTTATTTGCTGCAGGCTGGGACTTTGCTACCCTGCTGTTACTACTGTACTTTCCACTGCATTATGGCATTACAGTCTTATATAGGACAGGAGTTCTGGAATGTGTGTTTTCTGTAGGTGCCTTTCTCCATGAAAGGGGTGACAAAGCTCCATGGGCTGTGCATGCCCCTGGGTGTGTATACACACATGGGCACAGACATCAGTTCCATGTGCTGCCTGGGCACCGTGTGCCCCCTGAAAGAAGCTCAGGCTGAAGAAGCTAGCTGTGGGAGGGGAAAACCCAGTCTTGCACAAAATGGCAGCTCTATCCCCCTAACAGAGAGGGATGGTATAAGGAACTTAACAGTTGGGGTGATCAGGAAAACAGAGCTTAGTTTTGAAAGGTGGATTATTAGCCCTTCCCGACCATTTGCTTTTTCTTTACAATCTTGTGCTTGGGCGTATGCAATCTGTAAGGCCAAGCTGAGAGCTGGTGTGAACGGAATAACTTAATGCCAGGTCAGAATTGCACTGGTCTGAAATGCTTGGGATGAGAAATAGCCACTGCTTTGAAAAACAGCTTTTGTGGGCTTTCCCGTTGTTGTTTTCTGCATAAATTTGAGAAGCTGTTTCTTTTTCAAGGAATTGCATCATACGAACTGCAACAGTTGTAAGGCTGGGATTTCTGCAGAGGTACCATCAGCAGTTATGACCCAAGGAGCACTTCTAGTATTGGTGTATGCTGAGGAGGCTATTCTGCTGCCTGGTGCTTCTGGGAGAGCACTCTGGTTTCAAACCCACCCTGTCTGACCTCACCTGCTCACACCACCTCTTAACTTGGCTCTTGGCTCCTAGTTTATGCCTGCCTTTTTGTAATTTCCAAGCTGCACTTGTATCCTAAGAGCACCGAATAAAGCACCTAAATATACTCTCTGCTCTCTTTTTCTAAAGAAGGGGTTGAATGAGTCTCTTGCAAACAATTTTGTTTCTTTCATTTAAAAGAACAGCCTCCGCCTCCAGCCTGAGCTAAAGCACAGCATTTATCTTTTGTCATTCCTTCTTTTTTTTTTCTCCTTCTTTTATTTCTCCGGTGGATTTTTAACTGGCAGCTGAGAACGAACTGGCTTCCAAGACTCTGAAGGTGCGCAGGAACGGCGGACGTAGATGGAACCTCCTCAAGCCTGGAGCTGAGAAGCTGCAAATCAGTAGGGTAAGGCGTTGTTTGAAATATGCCTCTGCATGCTTCAGGGTTGTTGTTTACCTACCACATGTTTAGCCTTGGAATCTAACAACCTGCTTTGCTAACGGCTTCCTGGATCTGTGGTTCCTTCAGCCACAGATGAGAGTTATTCTTCTGCTATTAGAATTGTTTTATAGTGATAATAGGTGTGCTAACCTTTTCCATTGGATTAGTTTCCCTCAGATGCGTAGCGGAGGCTTTGTGGTGTAGTGGAGGCACTGGACCTCCTGTTCCTTTGGTCGAGTGATCCTTGCAAGCGGAGGAACTGTGACGTTTCAAATAGCCTATAGATTTGCTCAGTGGTTTTGTTGATGCACTTCCACCCCACCTCTCCCCAGCCCTTTTTTATCACATGTCCATCGGGTTTGTTAGTGCACCATCTCTGTGACAGATTCACGTGATTCTTTCCAGAAGAGTTTTGCAAATATAGACACAATCTATTTTGTTCTTTTTTTGTGAATGTTGCTGCTAGCTGGGGAAGAAAAAGCTGTTGTGGTCCTTGGGATTTCCCTGTCTTTCTCTGTAAGTTGAAAAGAACAATCAGGAAAAATAGCAAATAGTTGTTACATCTGTCTGATGTGCTTCCTTGTTTCTGTGTGGGATTGCTTTTAGTCTGTGCCATGCTGTGTGTTTGAAGTCTGGAGACCTTGGCTGTTCTGTGATCTTGTTTTGGCATTTGTGTCGTTTGTGAGTCTGGCTTCACTGGTAGCCGACATATAAAACTGAATAGTACAAAACACAAATGCTAGCTGGCGTCTACCATGATGCAAGGAAAGTTTTCTAGTGGCTGGGCCAAAATAGGTTTAGCCTTTGTTGTTCCTCTAGGGTAGACAAACAAAGAATGATCTGGAAGCCAGGAATTTCCCTGCTGGAATTGACTGGAGGAAGCTGACCTCCTGTGGTTGTGTCTCTGCAGTTCTTCTCTCCATTACTGTCCTTCCTTGCCAGTCTTTTATTGTGTATCTTTCCCTTTGATACCTGATGAGTTGCCTTCCCGAAATGTGATTTCCAAGGAGGACACAGCCTTTGTGCATGTTTTTCTACTGCAGAAGCAATAGATAGGTGGTGAGGCAGTCTACTCTGGCCTGCTTTGATATTTCTTGGCTTGCAAGAGATACATGCAGGGATAGACCACTGCTATCTCAGTAATTTGTGGCTTTCTGGAATGCCTCCAGTTTTCTCTCCTGATTTTAGTGGTCTGAGATATAAGATAGAGGGCAGTGAACAAGCAGTTCAACCTTTCCTTTTCTCTTACCTCCATTTGGATCCTACTGTTTCTCCAAAATAAGTGCTGCTTTCACCTTGAAACAGCTGTTCTAGTTACAGGGATGCTGAACATCTAAGCTTCTGGAAGATAAAATGATCAAAATTCTGTACAGCTGTTTGCTTTCTGGGACAGAATAAAGAAATGCAACAATAATATCCACCTATAAAGGATGCAGCAAGGATTGTTACTGCAGCGTTACAGCAATGAGACTGGCTGCAAGCCCTATCAAAGAATCTCATCAGGTGTGCCACAAATGTTTCCACATTTGGAATCTAGTGTTAACTAGTGCATAGGTATGTCTACTTAGCAAATCTAACACTTTCTTAATCTGTTCATAGGAGATGTATGTTTTACAGCCTTTGTAGATATCCCTTCAGCTCTGCTCAGAAACCAGCACATTTTTCTGTTCTGCCATAATACTGCTATCAAATACACAAAAAATAGAATTGTGTCCTGAGTCATCTCAAAAAGCCAGACTTGTTTCTGATTGAGAATAGAGAGTGACATGAGAGCACCCTTACAAAGGCAGCTGAGAATTAAAGCTCCAGCAAACCAGAAATACTGGTGAAGTTTGGGAAATGCTAGCTAGGAAATTTTCTTTCTCCAGTGGAGAAATATAAGGAGGATGTGAAACAGAAAAGGGAAATGAGCTCCTTGTGAGCACAGAGACTTTTATGTGATGCTTGGCTCAGTGACAGATCTGCCAAACACCCGTGTGTCACTGGGGCACAAGATTGGTTTGGGGTGCTGAACAAGCTGATCTCTGAGGCTTGTTTGGCACTGCCATTAGGCAGCTTGTTGCTCAGCCTGAATTACAGTGGACAAGCAGGTGTGAAACCTGTGCTGGAGTCTATAAATCAGAGTTACTGTGGTGAACACCACCAGAGCAGGTATATAAATTTGGCTCACAATAGCAGTGCTGGAAAAATTCATCTGCTGCCTCTGCCTCAAGTTGAGTGAAGATGTATGGGTCTGTAAATCATCTGTTTGCCAGAAAGAAATTTCTTCATTGACAAGATTTATAAATTTGAGATAAAATTTGTGAACTTGGGTATCTCTTGTCAGGTGTGTTCATTGGCAGGTGCAGAACTAGTACAGAAAGGAGTGATTTATACTTCCAAACCAGATGTCAGGCTTCCAAAGAAACTGCTTGATTTCTGTCTTGAATGGAAATGCCTGAGGTGGAGAGAGAGCAAAAGGAAATTGACAAAGCATTAGGCTTGTCTTGGAGGCATCAGTGCCATCTTGGTCCTTAGAGAGATGCTGGTTGTTGTGCAAAGAGTCATGGCATTGCTACATGTTATGCAAAAATGGAGAGCTGTTGATCATCTTATGAAAGAATCTCTTTTTCATCAAGACCATTATTTGTCACATGTGGTTTACTGTGTCCATCACTTTGCAGCAGGCTGTATCTTGGTGCATCTGTCCAGATATTGGGGACAGCTGCTGGTAGCAGCCATGCCACCTCCCTGCTTGGTGGTTTTCTGTTACACCTGGGAGCTGAAAAGAGGAGCAAAGTGCAGTTGGAAAAGCAAGTGGTGGTAGCAGGACATGAGAGAAAGATGTGTGTGTAATCCTGTGCTCCACCTCACCTTCGTGCTCAGCATTCATACACAGTGTGTTTTGGTTTTTTTTTTCTTACTAGTCTCAGCTTTCTTCTATCAGTCATACCCAAGCTATTTTAATGAGTTAACACCAGCAAGTCTGGACACAAGCCTTAGAAATTTCCTATGGGATAGATAAGGTTTATTATCCACACTTAGTGGGTGGGAATGAGGAAACTGAAGCACCACAGGGTGGTATATGGAGAGCCAAGCAATAATTTTTCATTTCGCTCTTAATTTCATGATGGGGAAAAAAAAGGAAATGGTATCAAAACTGAGTTGACTTGTAAAAGTTTTAAGTACATTTCTCAGCCTGGAGAAAACTCTATACTGAAACACCTTATATGCAAAGCATTTCATTTTGGCACTATGGTTTGCTTGGAGTCTCTACTTTGATGGGAGCAATTTGGTACAATTAAGAACCTTCAGGTGCCCAAATCTGCAGGCTGTGCTGCAGCAACAAACTGAAATGCCAAAAGGAACTTCCAGAAAGCTGCACTAGCTCTGACAGGGCCCTTGGCATCTGTCTTACCTCTGTGATTTACCCTCAGGTAGGTCCTGCCAGCTGGTGTGTGGCTGAGCCCATTGAGCAATGGACAAGGGAAGAAGTGAGTTACTTTCTCCAACCCCAGGGCTATTCTGGAAGATGCCTTATTGGTCAGACTGGCCGATGGGAGATAGTCCAGAAGGAGATTCAAGCATTCTGGAATCAGAACCATTCACTTAATAAGTGTAGGACAGCTTTAGTTTTTAGTCTTTAACTTAGCAATGATGATGGCAAACATTCACGTTCTCTGCTACTTTCCCCATTTGTGTTGTGTGCTCTTGTACAAAGGACTAAAGCCTCACTTCATGTGCTGAATGAAGGCCACAGTTGAACTACTTAGGATGGAAACTTTGCATTATTGCTAGCATCTTCAACAGATTCTACATTAATGATCAGTAGGCCTGTTGTGCAGAGGTGTTGAATGTTTGCAAAACCCCACCAACCCAGCCTGTCCTTGCTCTTCTTCGCAAGCACAGGAAGAAGAAGCTATGTTCAGAAGCTTCTTTGAGCTGCCTTTGCTACCCAAAGCTAATTCCCCACTGGCACATTTGTAAGGAATAGGAATTTCAAGCAAACTGCAGCCTGCAAGAAAGAGGAGTGAAGGGAAAGTTGATTTGGGTTCCCTCACTCACGCTGTGCTGAGATGAATAGGGAATGCTGGTTGGTATTCTGTACCAGCTCTTCTGCTTGCTATTTTTATCACCTCGCATAATGCTGAGTTTGCATTTTGTTTAGTGGGTTTATTTTTTTTCCTCTTTGAAATGTGTCCTGCACAGTGTTTCTCTTGGCTTGCTACTGTGGGGAGGAAGGGGATATGGAAGGGATTGTAGACTGCTGCATTCTGATACGTGAGCTGTATGTAATCATAGTCATTTTTTAGCTCTTCTATCCACATGAATAAGCTGATAGAAAAACGTTGTCCTGTGGCTTTCTGGATGCTAATTAATTTAAATATCACCAATATTTAAATTAACATTGATGAGAGTGTTGTATGCACGTGAAGAGGGCTGCCAGAGAAATGCGTTGTCTTTTAATCTCCCTTCATTTTGAACAGTTAGCACTTCTGCTGCCTGGGTGCATCTCATCTGTGTGTCTTCTGGGGTTTATTTTATATCTTGATAAAGCTATTATACTGCTATTCTTACTAGTGCTCTGAAATCTACTTTGTACAGTTTTTTCCATTGCTTTTCTCCTCAAGGTCACTCCTAGGCATTTGTTAATGTTTGTGTGCCATATTGCTTAGGAAAAAAAAAAAGAAAAAAGAAAACAGAAAAGGGGAAAAACAGACCTGTTCATTCATTGTGGAAACAGCAGTTCAGTCCAAGTTGACTGGTCCCAGTGACCTTGTCGTGGAACCTTGTGACTCCAATGCTGGCAAATGCTTCCTGTATGTCTGTGTGAAGAGTGCTCAGCGAGGATCTCTGGGTGAGTGGGATTTGCAGCAGTAGGAGCCTTTTAAGCACCTGAGGTCTGATGCTTCTAATCTGATTTTGTTTGTGAACTGATCAGAGCACAGTGAGCACTGATTACGTGTGTGTAGTCTGTGCTGAAC